CCTCTTCTTTTATACCCTTGATGACATCTCAATTTCTTACAACAGGATTGATCCCATGTTGTCAAAACCGTCAAATTTAAATTTAATTGATTTTTGGTTTCCGAGTGGCTGGTTGAAATTGATTGGCTAAAAGCAAAACTTGTTGTCTTGATAACAAAATAAAACTACTTAGCCTGCTAACTGTATGGCTTTTTGATACAAATGTTTCAATTTTAGGGCTGTCTGTGCACCTGCAAATCCACAAGCTACTGCCCACAGACATTTTATTTAAATGTGTAAGCATAGAAAACGTACATCATCTTTTAACGGGACCTTGTATTGTTTCCCTCCCCCACCCCCCCCACCCACCCCACCAACAGCATTTTACAAACACCAAATTCTAAATTCCTGCCTTCCAATCCACAAGTACTCTGAGGTTGCAGACTTGCTAGCAAAGCCAGTGTGTTTGATTGCAGACATTTCGTCACCCTGCTAGGTAACATGGTCAGTGCACCTCCGGTGAAACATTGGCATTCTGTCCCACTTGTTATTTATACACCTGGTTTGCTGGGGTGGTTACTATTACTTCCGGTTTTGTTCTTCAGTGGTTTGTACATCAGGTCCAGTTCAATGTTTGTTGACGGAGTTCCGGTTGGAATGCCAGGCCTCCAGGAATTCCCTGGCATGTTTCTGTTTAGCTTGTGCTATTATGGACGTGTTGTCCCAATCGAATTTGCGCCCTTTGTCCATGTGTATTGAGACCAGTGAGAATTGGTGGTTAGTTGATGGTTGTGTATCCTTTATTGCCAGTTTTCTTCCAATTTGGCCTAGGTAATGTTTCTCTCAGTCCTTGCATGGTATTTTGTATATTACATTGTATTATCGGGTGTAGCTATGGGGTCCTTTACGTTTGTCAATAGCTGTCACAGGGTAGTTGTTGGTTTGTGGGCTACCTTGATACCTAGGGGTCTGAGTAAGCTTGTGGTCATCTCTGATATGTCCCTGATGTATGGTAGGGTAACTAGTGTGTCTGGCTGTGTTGTGTCTTCCTGATGATGTTGTTTGTCACGGAGGTAATGGCAGATTGTGCTTTTTGGGTATTCATTCCTTTTTAAAACTCCAAATAAGTGCTCCTGCTCTGCTTTGCGCAATTCCAGGGTGCAGCAGTGTTGTGGCTTGTTTGAATGATGTCCTGATGCAGCTTTGTTTATGGGTGTTGGAGTGGTTGCTGATATAATTAAGTATCTGGTCTGTATGTGTTATCTTTTTGTATACGCTAGTCCAGAGTTCCCATTGTTCTTATGTTCCACCATTATGTTCAGGAAGGATAGTCGGTTGTTGTTCTTTTGTGAATTTTATTCTGGTGAGAATGTTGTTTATGTGTCGGTGGGTTTCTTCTAGTCTTGTGTGTTAGATGATATCTTCATGATTATCAACATAGTGGACCCAGAGTTTGGGTTGGATAGCAGGGAGCACTGTCCATTCTAATCTTTGCATTACCGCTTCTGCTATCAGTCCTGATATTGGGGATCTCATTGGTGTTCTGTTGATTTGTTTAAATATGTGGCCATTGAAGGTGTTAGGCACAGATCCACTGGTTTCAGGGTAATGTCCTTGTTGACGCAGTTGGTGTCATGGGGTGTCTTCCTTCTTGATTTGTCTAGCAGTGTAGAAGTTGACTCTTTGGCTAGGTCGATGTTTATGGATGTAAATAGTGCTGTTATGTCGAAGGATACCGTTATCTCATCCTCTTCTAGTCTGGTGTCCTTGATGATGTTGAAGAATTCTTGGGAGGAGTGGGTACTGTTGTCAACTAAGGATTTCAGTTTCCATTGTAGTTCTTTGGCTAGTCTATGTTGGTATGCCTGGTAGTGAGACAATGGGTCTGAGGGGGACCCCTAGTTTGTGTACCTTAAGGAGTCCATAGAAGCGGGGTGTGTTAGATCCCTCTGGCTTCATTTTTTGGTCGTCTGTCTTGTTGATGTCTCCTGACCTGTGTAATTTCTTCAGGGTTGTTGTGATCTGATTCCCTAACTGTGGTAACAAGGTGTGGAGCTGGATGAACACAGCAGGCCAGACAGCATCAGAGGCGCAGGAAAGCTGCCGTTTCAGGTCTGGACCCTTCTTCGGAAACCCAAAACGTCAGCTTTCCTGCTCCTCTGCTGCCTGGCCTGCTGTGTTCATCCAGCTCTATACCTTGTTGTTCTCAGACTCCAGCATCGGCAGTTCCTACTATCTCCTTAACTGTGGTGTTGGGTCTATCGCCATCTGTTGGTAGGTGTCGGTATCTGCTAGTGGTGCATTGGCTTTCTTGATGTATTAAGCTCTATTAAGGATTACTGTCATGCGTCCTTCGTCTGCCAGTACGATTATGATTCTGTCTTTCTTGAGAATTTCCAGGGCCGCCTTCTCTTCTGTGTTGATTGTGATGGGACTATCGGCTATCTGATGATCTATTGTATTTCCTCCATGAGTCCGTTGCTCTTCAAGAACAAAAACAAAGTTGCTGGAAAAGCTCAGCAGGTTGCTCTTCAATGTTGATTCCAGTGCAGCCAGGAAGTCAGTTTTTTGGCGTCTCTGTGGTTATAATTCAGTCTGCGTACTAGCACGGTTTTCTCAGTGGCTGTAACTGGTTGTTCTGAGATGTTCTTGATCTATGTTTCTGTGTTGTCTATGTCATCGTTATAAGTGAGTTTTGATAGTTTGTCTTGTAAGGCTATTCTTTTCTTTGTTCAGTCCTCTGTTGTTGCAGTATGGCTATGGCTTGTTCCAGTGTAGTTGCCCATTCTTGGTCGGTTGCATTGGAGTACAAAGTATTTTGACGTGCAGTTTCCTGCTCGTATTTGTGGAGGCGGTTTTCGGCATCATTGATCATAATCCTTATCATTCTGCGGCTGTTCTATGCAGCTGTTCTCCGTGCCTGTAGATCGTTGACAAGTGGTTTATATTTTAAGCTTTGTGATAGTACCTGTTTTCTGAGGCATTCATGCAGGAAGTAAAGTAGTTCGCAGGTTGCCTTCAAACAGATGGCACTTGTCTCCCATCTGCGGGCCAGTTTAAGGTTGTTGTGCCCATAGGTGTTCGAAGATTTTGAGAAGAGTCACCGGAGGCACACTGACTACGTTACCTAGCAGGATGATGAAATGTCTGCAATCAAACATACCAGCTCGGCGAGCAAGTCTGCAACCTCATCCATGACCCAAGCTACAAATCTTCTCAAAAACTTTAACCACAAGTACTCTGCCCAACTTCGCCTGATAATGGAGTAAATAAGAATAGAACCTCTGAAAATTAACAAATGGTCCTTGAGAAAATTTCAAAACGTGCCTCAAAAAATTATTTTGACCCCCTGATTATCAGCAATCTTAGAATTCATTGAAACAGAGTGAAAGCAAATCAACCTCAATCCAAAGGGACTGCCTCCATAAATGCAACAACTGCTCAGTTTGTATTCCACCAGAACTATGTGGCTACAGACCTCACTACAGTCTTAGTCCAAACATACGTAAGAATTGCATTTCAGAGATAAGGTAGATTTGATTACACAGCAATACTCAACCAACAGGCATCAAGGAGCCTGATTTCAGATTTAAATCAATAGCAATCGAGGTGTAAAATCATTATTGGTTGAAGTCATAACAAGCACAATGAGATGGTTATGGTGTTAGAGGTCAATCAGGAAATTCCTCAGCGTGGTGTCCACTGCTTCGTAAATGATTTGCACTCAATAAAGTCAATAAAGTGGCAGTGTCACTGATAAATGCAGTGTTCAATGCAATATACAGCATCTCAGACCATCAAGTAGTCTGTGTTCATAGGCTGTAAGACCTGACCAATGTACAGCCTCTGGTCAATAAATTTTAAGTAAATTTTTCTTGTGGAAATTTCGAAAAGAAGAAAAGCTATCCACCTTGACATTCAACCTTACTCCAATATGGACCAGCCATATTAATGCCATAGCAACAAAAGCAAGTCAGAGGCTGGGAATTTTGTGGCGGGTAACTCTCCTCCTAATTCCCCAAAAGCCTGTCAAATATTTACAAGGCACAAATCCAGAGTGTAACTGAAAATCCTTACTCGCCAGGATGAATACAGTTCCAATGACATTCAAGCAACTCAACGCTATTCAGGACAATGCAGCCCACTTGCCTTCTAACAGTCATTGCCCTAAGCCTAGGAAGCAGTTGGGGTGCCATAACAAGCTATGTCTTTAACTTGGGATGGGGGTGAATATTCATGTTCTTGTACTAATTCCTATCCAGTGACATTGGAAATTGAGTCTGTATTGATTGGAAGGCTGGCCAAGCCCATCATGAACCAATGTCCATTCACTAAGTTCATATATCAAGGATGGCTTATTTGGTGAGAGAATGCCAGTTGTATTCATGAATATATCAACTTCTAATTTCAGACAACAAAGTAAGAAGTTATAATTGAAAGAACCGTTCTTGAATATTGATTAATGATCTTTGCCGACAACTAGACAATTTTGCTGGACTTAACAGTGGGAAAATGAATCAATCCTCAAATTTAATGTCCAGATACTTTCTAATGTAGGAGATGGGTTTGTATTCATGTTTCTCAAATTGAGTTCTCATTCTCAGTTTGAGATCAAGAGAGTGTTGAGCAAGAACCAGTATGATTCCCACCTTCAGTTGGCAGTGTACTGTTTTCTGCCTTGTTAATGAAACTGCTCTTGGATGGGTCTGGAGATCAGGCAGCAAGTCTCTTGACCACTTTGCCTAACAAGGCTTTTTATCTTAAAAGAACCAAATGAAAATTGGTCAGAGGATTTTGAAGTTTACTTTTTCAATTTTTATTTTATCAATTAATGGTGATTTTAAAATGAGCATTTAAGCTGAATGATTTATCCTTATAATTATGTATTGTTTGATAAGCGTGAATGAGAAGTTTCCTTGACAAATGATTATCCCAATAATTACTATATCCCAAATAAGATTGGAATATATTAAAGAGAAATGTTGTATTATTCACGATGTTTCATCTCTCTGTTTCAATAGAAAGCTTGAAATCTCTACAGGGAAGCTTGCCAGGTTTGCAGATGGATGTGCTTTGGTTCAGGTAAACTATGTTTTAGAACGTCTATATAGATTTAGATTCATAGAGTCATAGAATCCCTATTGTGTCCCTTTTGGCCCAACAAGTCCACACCAACTCCCTGAAAAGGATCCCACCCAGACTCCACCCCTCAAACCTATCCCTCTAACCCTGTATTTCCCATAGCTAATTCACATAACCTGTACATCCCTGGACACTGGGCAATTTAGCATGGCCAATCCACCTAACCTGCACATCTTTTGGACTGTGGGAGGACACCCACGCAAACTTCACACACAGTCACCGGAGGCTGGAATTGAACCCGAGTCCCTGGCGCTGTGAGGCAGCAGTGCTAACCACTGAGCCACCATGCCACCCCATATGGTTTGGTAGTCCTGTGGCACAGTGGGTGTATCTTGGACTCTGAACTAAAAGCTCCTGTTTCAAATACCGCTCCAGACATTGGTGGTCACAGAAGGTACTTGTGAGCAACACGACCAAAGTCTCCCTATAAACCTGTGGCAGACTGTAAGTGCAGGAGAATCTCTTGATCAGCCATATTTGATGTGGAGTTCAAGTTATAACTTCTGTTAACAGACTAGCAATTTGCCCCAGGAAAAACCAAGCTTTTTGTCTGGTTCATGTATCTCTAGATATGGGAAAGTCCCAAAATCTAAGTTGACGTCACCTAATTTGGTACTATGTGAACATTTTTTTAAAAAAAACTTCCTCTTCTGAACTATTCAAACTATGGATGTAGAGACTGGATAAAAATTGAATCCAAGTATATTGTGTCAGTTTCTGAGTGTTAAATGACCATGAGTAATTCATCAACCCTACTTATTACGCTGCGTATGCCTCCCACGTGGTGTAACACGTGCATTGGATATATGGCACAGCAACAAACCATTCAAGCATAACTAGTCCATGCCAGTGTTTATGCTTGACTCAAGCCTCCTCCCATCTTTTCTCCCCTGAAGATACCTTTGTTACAATTTATTCAGGTTTCCTTTTATGCTGGCAAAGTTTCTCCTTAAATATATCTCTGAAATCCACTTCAATCAGTCCCTACTTTGAAGCAAGTTCACATTTTTATGACTGTCCCATATTGGATTTCTTTGTCACTATTTTACTTTTTAGCATCCAGTTATATTCTTCCCCATGAGGGGGAACATTCTCTCTCTATCCATTCTATCAAAACCTTTCATAATTTTAAAGAACATTATTTAGACACATTTCAAGATTTTCTTTTCTCAAGATGTTCTACCTGTCAGCTGTTTCCTGCTATGTCAAGCAATGCATTTATGAAATCTTTTAGATTTTCTGAGCAGTCTCTCCAGTGTCTCATCGTATTTGTGACAACCAGCAATGCACGCAATACGTGTTCGAACCATAGTTTATTACAGGTCTTGTTTAGCTTCCCTACTTTTCAATTCTATCCCTGTAGGCATGATGCCTAATGTTTGGTTTTCTTATACCCTGGCTAACCTGTACCACAACTTCTGGTTAACATTATCATAATTTGTTCAAATTAGCTTCCTCCTCTATACCTTGGGATAGGAAAGGTCATTTTAAGAGTAGATTTTCAACTTGTTTGTAGGTACAAGTGATTGGTTAAAGAGACAGGAATCTATCATGCCGTGATTGTGCTTTTTATTTCATTTGCTGTCAGGATATGGGTAGTGTTTCAAGGTGCATTTATTGGAAATTCTGAATACCCTGAGACCTGGAACCTTGGATCTCAATTACAGCAATCTATGTATCAATAGAATTATTTCATGGAGACTTTGCACTAGTTTCACTTGGGATGCCATAATTGCAATAATAGGCTGAAATGTTAGAAAGCGATCATATAATGTTGTGTTTAAAAAAAAGAAAAGCGAAGTCTCAAGAAAGGTGGCTGCAGGTTCAGGTTTGCTGCTTGGTAATGCTACTCCACACTCTTAGAAACCAATTTCCGATTGCCACACTTGTTATGATCTAGCTAGCTAAAGCACACAAAATGAGAGGTCCAGTGGACGGACTTAGAGAAGACTGTCACAAAATTCTAGTTTTGAACAAATAACAATGAACTTTACTCTGCAATATTAGAAAAGTAATGTAATCTACAATGTGTATGCAATTTATATTCTAATATCCAATTTAACATGGATCAAATGCCCCAAAGCAGTCAGTAAATAGCAATTATAATCTAGACAGATCCCATGGATTTCTTAGCAATTCTCCCTTTGACATTATTGAAATGGTGGGTCATAAATCTTACTAAACTTGAAAAGGAATCTCAATATTGCTAATCTGACCTTGAAGCTTCCTCTCTGACTGCCCCATAATGGACTACATGAACTACTGCTCCCATTGCAGCCGATCAGGTTCCTTTCTCGGGTGTACTCTTCCCCTGCATTCCAAAACTGCACTCTAATAGTCATTCACAAGCAGAATGTGAGCTGTTCACTAAAAGCTAGATTTTATGACGTAGTGCTAAATCTGCATGCAACCCATCCCAGGTTCTAATCTTTTTCAGTTTCTTCAAGCAAATACTACTTCTAAGGTTTTCAGTTCTCACTATCTCAGCTGCAGTAAAATATTAATGCTCATAGGCTTCTGCCTGGTCTTTCTCAGCTTCCTGTTGCACAGAGCGTGTGACTTTCCCGCTTACTCCCCTCCCTGGCAATACTTGAGTCCAAAATTTGACTCTCTATTAATTTTGAGAACTTGTTCCCAACATTTCTAAAAGCACAGAGCCATTCAGCTGTTCTTGACTCTTAAGCCAGTTCCCCCCCTACGTGGGAGCTTTGTAGTTCAGCTGCTTTCCCAGCAGTACAACTAACTGTAGAACTTCTAATATGGAGTCTACATCTTTATCCTTCTCCTACTAACTGTGTAACTTTTGAACTTCTCTTCAGTGACCCCTCAAAGTGTCCTCAGTGACCTATCAAAAACCTTGCATTCAGCCCCTGTCTATTGCTGGCAGAATGAAATATACAGTCAATTGGAGCATCCTTGGATCTGCGTGCAGCCTAAAGGTTACATCCTAGCTGTGCTGGAAATGGATTTCATTAAAACACTCTGCTGAGCTGAGTGATGAATGGTATTGTATCAGCTTGCCCAATTGTGAACTCAGCTGTGTAATCATAAGGAATAGCCATTTTGAAGTACAGAGCATTAAATGACAAGTAATTGTAAATGATTGGCAATAAAATTGTGAGAAAAACGTAAATTAGTGAAATATGTGAATATTTGTTTGCGTTGATAATTTGGAAAAAGCCTTTTGAATTATAAATTGCTAATTTCAGTTTTCTCATCATGAAGTTAGGAGAGACATCAGTGATGGTTACAGCTGTCAGCAAAACAAAGCCTACTGCATCTCAGTTTATGCCATTGGTGGTAAGTTTTTCTTAACATTTAGTATCTGGTTGATCTTGTAGAATCTGCTGGAGACTAACAGACTTTTTGTAATAGGTCGATTACCGTCAGAAAGCTGCTGCTGCTGGAAGAATACCAACAACCTATTTACGTAGAGAAATGGGCTACACAGATAATGAGATTTTAACTAGCAGAATAATTGGTAAGATCATCTAATGCAGAATAGGCTTATTGCAGCAATTTTTCTTTGCAAATCCATTTCTGCAAATACCTTGTGATACATGCAGCAGCAATTTTATATTTTTCCATCCCTTGACAGTAAGGATGAATACTTTCTGGGAAAGTATTTTCTGAATTGTTTACATTTCCAATAAGTACAGGAGCTTTAAAAGTAAAAATATTTTAAAATGTAACATGATATTGTTTTGCTCAGATGTGGTCTATGCATTTTATGGAACTTGTCAAAAGTGTTTAGATTGAATTATAAAAATGCTGGGTTTGATGGATAATTACCTCTGCCAGTGAACTCATTGACGCCAAGAGAATTATCACTTTTAGCCAGCAATCAGTTAGTTGCCCTCCGTGCATTAGCATTTTCGTTCCTAGTTTGTATTTTGAGAGGAAAACATAAGTGGTAAGCATAGAAAGCAGTTGAAAGGTGCCTCTGAACAGCAAATGCAGAGCAGCACTTAATACCACAAATAATGAAGTCTTTGCCCCAGTTCAGACTATCTTCCCCATTTGTCCAATTGAAGGAAAACCATACCAAAACAGAGAAACTCAGCATATCTGGTAGCATCTATGGAGGAAAAACAGAGTTCACCTTTTAAATCCAGTCACCCTTCTTCAGAAGGTAAACCATGACAGATGGAAAGGCAGGCACATGAGGAAAATGTAGGATTATTTTCCAAGGCTTTTGTAATTGGAAATGAGTTCAGCATTGTAAATTATTTGTTTTCTGTTGCTTCTTCAGACCGTTCAATCAGACCACTATTTCCTTCAGGCTATTTTTATGACACGCAGGTAAGTAATGGATAAAATTAACAATTTGAGACATTTTTGGGAAAACGTACTTTGAACACATTTGCCAAATTATCAATTTTGCCTATATACTTTAGTTGAAATATCTATATTTAACCAGGATGTAAATGCTATTAGAGAAAATTATATCATTTTAAAACAGTGACTGAAACACATTCATTACTGTCAGCGAAACTTTATAGCAGCTGCATAATTGTATGTGCAGCTCCTGTAGTTACAGACGTTGCTTTATTGTTTCAAAATTGTTTCTTGTTCTTTGTTTGTATAATTGACTATTCAAAATTATCACAATTTATCGCTTAATTATTTGTAATGTAGTTATTTTTAACATGGCTATTAGCGTCACATTAATGATGTATTTGAATATCTAAGAACTTTTCAAGTATTTCTGAAAGTATGTATTCCATAAGATATAGGAGCAGAATTAGGCCATTTAACCCATTGAGTTTGCTTCGCCATTCAGTCATGGCTGTTATGATTCTCAACCCCTTGTCTTGCCTTATCTCTGTAACCCTTGATCCCCTTATCAACAAGAACCTGTCTTCTTAGGCAATATGTTCCACAGATCCACTGCCCTCTGGCTGAAGAAATTTCTCCTCCTCTCAGTTCTAAAGGGTTGCCCCTTCACTCTGAGACTGTGTCCTTGGTTCCTAGTCTCTCGAACTGAAGAAACATCTTCACGTCCACTCCGTGCAGGCCTCTCGGTATTCTGTAAGTTTGCCAGATCCCACCTCATCCTTCAAAACTCTGAGTGTAGACCCAGAGTCCTCAACAAGTCCTCATATGACAAGCCCTTCAAGTCAAACTTCCTCCAAAGCCAGCATATCATTCCTTAGATACAGGACCCAAAACTTTCAATATTCCAAATGCAGTCTGACCAGAACCTTATACAGCCTCAGCAGTACATCTCTGCTTTTGTATTCTTGCCCTCTTGAAATGAATACTAACATTCCATTTGCCTTCCTAACTGCCAACTGAACCTGCATGTTAACCTTAAGAGAATCCTGAACTAGGACTCCCAAGTCCCTTTGTACTTTGGATTTCTGAAGCCTTTCCCCATTTAGAAAATAGTCTATCCTCTATTCTTACTACCAAAGTGCGTGACCTCACACTTTCCCAAATTGTATTCCATCTGCCACTTCATAGCCCACTTTCTCAGTCTGTCACAAGTCCTTCTGCAGCCTTTGTACTACTTCAACACTACCTGGTCCTCCACCTATCTTTGTGTCCTCTGCAAACTTAGCAACAATGCCCCTAGTTCCTTCATACAGATTGTCACAACGTGGTTCTGGCCCTAATACGGACCCCCTTGGGACTCCACTAATCACCAGCTGCCATCCTGAAAAAGACTCCTTTATCTCAACACTCTGGCTTCTGCTAGTCAGCTAAATCTCTATCCATGCTAGTTCCTTTCCCCTAACACCATGGGCCCTTGTCATATTTAGCAGCCTCTTGTGCAGCACCTTCTGGAAATCCAAATAGGTCACGTCCACTGGCTCTCCTTTTTTTAACTTGCTCATTGCCTCCTCAAAAAATTCTAATAGATTTATCAGAAATAACCACCCCTTGGTAAAGCCATGCTGGCTCAGCCCTGTTTTACCATGCACTTCCAAGTACTCATCTCTAATAATGGACTCTAAAATCTTACCAATGACTGAGGTCAGGTTAACCGGCTAATCCTTCCTTGTCTTCTGTCTCCCTCCCTTCTTAACCGGGTGGTATGTCAATCATTTTGCAGTCCTCTGGCAACCTCCTTGAATCCAGTGATTCTTGAAGGGTGACCACCAATGCCTCCACAATCTTTTCATCTATCTCTTTCAAAACTCTGGGGTGTAGTCCATCTGGGTGATTTATGTTGTTCAGTCCTTTCAGCTTCCCCATCACTTTCTCCTTAGTGGTGGCCACTATACTCACCTCTGACCGTGGCTGTCTTGAAGTTGTGGTACGCTGCTCGTGTCTTCCGCAATGCGTACTAATGCGAAGTATCTATTCAGTTCCTCTGCCAGTTTTTTTTTTGTGTTCCCTGTTTCTACTTCTCCAGCCTTGTTTTCCAGTTATCCAGTGTCTTCTCAAGCCTCTCTCTAGCTTTTTATATATCTAAGAAATCTCTTGCAGTCATCTTTTGCATTAGTAGCTAGCTTACTGTCATATTTCATCTTCTCCCCCTTTGCAGCCTCTTTGGAATTGCCAGTTATTGATGATTAAAACATGCCACATTTGTTTGCAGAAATATTTGTAGTCAGGTTTTAGACTGAAGGTATGATTCTTTCTTTTGTTTAAGATTGTTTGTAATCTCATCGCAGTGGATGGTGTCAATGACCCTGATGTACTTGCAATAAATGGAGGTAAGTAACAACATACCTTGGAATAGTTACTTTGAATTGTTATTGATTACCATGGGGATGGACCATGATGTTATTGAGAAAGGATTTCCAGAATTTTGACCCTATTTTGGTGAAAGGGTAGTAGTGAATCTCCCAAGTCAAAATTGTGTGTGACTTGGAGGTGATGTTCCTATAACGCTAGTTTTCTCCACAAAACCATAAGAAATAGGAGTAGATTTTGCACCTTGAGCCTGCTCTGCCATTCAATATGATCATGACTGATCCGACATTTCTCACATCTGCTTTGTAGCCCTTTCCCTATAACCCTTGATTTCCCCTATTAATCATGAACCAATCTATGTCAACCTTAAATATTCAAAAGGGTTCTGTCCCCATAGCTCTCGCTCTCTGAGAAAAGAAATTCTTCCTGATCTCGGTCTTAAATTGGCGCCCTTTATTCTGAAACTATGCCCACTGGTCTTAGATTCTCTTATGGGGGGGTAATATTCTCTCAACATTTACACTGTCAACATTTACAAAGCCGCTTAAAAATCCTATGTTTCAATGAAATCACCTCTCCTTCTAAACTCCAGTTTGTAGAGTCCCAACCAGTTTCGCTTTTGCTCATTAGACAAACCCTCCATACTGGGACCACCCTTGTGAGCCTTCTCTGAACTGCCTCCAATGAAATTATATTTTCCTTCTTGGTGGTGATGTTTCTGAGATGGAATATGCTATTGAAGTGTTACTGTGCATCCTTTAATCATAGTGTACCAGTGGTGGACTAAGGCTAGTGACAGACACACTGATCGCCTAAAGTGCTCTCTGTTTGTTCTCAGAGCTTTGTTACTGTAGCTCTACCTATTCTGTGAAGTGACTAGCATTCCATCACAATCCTAACCTGTGTCTAGTAGATAGAGATGAAGCTGAGTTCTCATAATGTTAAAGAACTGTTGTGGAGCATCCAATCTGTACTCTGCACTTCCAGACATAGTATTGATAGTGACTGGTGCAGTAGAGCTTCTGGCCACTTGTGAGACCTGGTTTCCTACTGTTATGGCCATCTTCCATTGGCCATGAATGTAAATAGGAGTGGAATCTCCATTGACTTCAGTTTTGTTAAGACTCCTTGGTGCCAATTTCTGTCAAATTCAACCTGGTGTTGAGGGGAGCCAGAATTGCCTCAACTCTGCACACGTATTTAGTTACTTTTATTATTGTTGCGGATCGCTTAGGAAAGTGTGCTGAATTTCAAGCCCCACTACTCCTGGGGTTACCACGAAACTTAATGATTTAATTAAGGCATACAACGCCTCTAATTTAAGTGTCTGTAAGAATCAAGCTGACAGAAGGCACTGATCACATTCCTGTACTTAACAAGAATTGCTACTTATTACAAAGTATATAGCTAAGAACTATCAACATATGGATCTACTAGCTAAAACTGTAAACCCTTTTAAACTCCTAGATACAGATACAGACAGACCTAGATAAACTAAAAAAAATTGGTTCTATGGGTGGATGATAAAAAACCTTGGAAAGGCAATACATTAACCTATATCCACAGGATTCATTGGGATCTTCCTTCTGTCCTGCTGAGATTTTCTGTTCTTCGGTCTCCCTTCTCCAGGTTCTTTTACTTCTTCACAGGAGGTACAAGGTGGTTGGTACACTAACCGCAAAGTCTCTTACTTACTGGTTAAAGGCAACTGTTACGGTTGCAGCAATTGCAACAAGTGGTGAGGGGAAAGTAACAGGAGTTCTTCAGACTTCAGGTCTTTTTACTGCAGAAATGGAGTGAGTCTTGGGGCCAGAACACTATTCTGGTAAAGCCAACCTTAGCTTATAGGAATTTACCACCATTTATGCATTGCTGATACTGCAGATAAGTGTTTGAAGGCGTTTCCTTTAAAATCTCCTTTGTCAATGTCTATCAAAATTGAAACGAAATGTTGCAATCCGCAAAGCAGTTTTAACATATATCAAACTTTGTGCTGAGAACTTGTAAACACTAAGACCTTGGTAGAGATTGGTATAATGGTGAGAATATCAAACTTGCTACTACATGGAGTGATTGAGGTGAAGAGCTTGGATGCATTTAAGTGGAAACTAGTTAAGTGCATGAAGCATGAGGAACAGAAGCATAGAAGTATATTAGGGTGTGACAAAATAAAGTCAAAGGAGACTTGTGTAGCGCATAAACACTAGCCACAGATCTGTTGGTCAAAGCAATTTGTTTCTATGCTGTGAAGCTGACATGGCATTCTTGTATATTTTAAAGGGAATTCATCCTGGTCCCATAGTAGAAAAAAAGGTATAATTAATTGTATTAATTAACTCAGTTTTTTTTTTAATTATTTAATTGTTTTCCCACCATTTACTGTCCTTTTTTATTTATATTAATAAATCATCTAGATAAAGGGCCGAGGTCACAGTGCAGGATACTACCAAGATGTAAAAGAGAAGATGAGGTAACGCAGGAAGAAGTCATTAAGGGATACCACCCAAAAGTTGTAGGAAGCGGGAAAGGCTGAGGGAGGTAAAAAGTTTTAGTTTTGATCCTTTTATGGGAGGTGGAGGAAGCATCTTTAATATTTTAAGAAATGAAGATAAGCAGATTTTCTGTTTTTTTTTTTGTACTGATGCAACAACCATTTGATAACCGGTAACTTGGCTACTGATTTCCACCACTCGCTCTCCTCCACCCCAGCATAGCCAGTGTGATTCCATTAAGAATCTGTCTGAGCATATACCATTAGAGTTTTATATCTTGAATTTTAGTGTTGGTTCTAATATCTGATGGAGAAGTCACACAAATCAATCTGCTTTAAAGTTGCAACAATACACACTGGCCTCGGGTTTTTTTTGTTATCACAATTTGCTGAATATTGCCGCAACCCAAAATAATCACAAAATTCAAGACCAGATTGAATTTAACTCAGCTTTACTTGAAGATAACTAAAAAGTAGTTTCATTTTTTTAAGAATCACTTTAATTATTTTAATATTGAGTTAGCTAAATGATGCTACAATTTAAAATGCTTAGTTTTTATGATAAGCTTATTTTCAGTGGAATTATTTAAACGTTACTAGATTATCACATTCAACTATAATGCAGAAAGTTTTCAAAGCCGAAAATTATTTTCAAATTGCTGTTTAGAAACCAACTGAATTGCACAAATTCATGTCAGACCTACCACCAGCAGATGTGCAAATGAATTTAAGCTGAAAATCAAGGTTGGTGGGAGAGATGCACTTTTCTTTAGGACCGGTGTAAGTTGTGCTGAAATTATCAATTGTCTTCAATGTAAAAATTCTCTACCACTCTTTCTAAAACTTTTCACTTCAAGTTTCTACAGTTAAAGCCTAAAGTTAGCACTGTAGTTGTAGACAACAAGGTGCAGGGCTGGATGAACACAGCAGGCCAAGCAGCACCGTAGGAGCAGAGAGGCTGACGTTTCGGGCCTAGACCCTTCATCAGAAAAGTTGTAGCTTAGGTTTTGAGGGAAAAGTTGTTGTTGCACTGCTTTTCCAAGTTCAGTTAGGCAAAGTGTGGCAGTTTTAAGCACTCACCATTATGGTTTACAGCGACTATATGAAAACTCTGAAATGTGATTTGTTGATTTATTTTAATGTATCCAATAAGTGTTTTTGATTGTGATCACTTGTGTTACTATATTTTCATACATACCAGAGTTTCCATGCTCAAACTTTTCCATTCTATTTTGACAGCCTCTGCAGCCTTGGCATTGTCTGACATACCATGGAATGGCCCTATAGGTGGGTAATCTTTAAAGCCAGGACTTCTGAAGTCAGCCTGTGTTCTTAATTTGAAATGTTGAATCGATGGCAATGCGCACCCTGCTATTAGCTGTTAAGATGCTACGTGATATTTACAAATACCATAAAGTAAGTTTGATGTCTCATCACCAACCACTTGGAAAGAAAGATTTGTAAATTTCCCAAACTGGGGGGGAAAGATGTCGTCTAAAAAAAAATCTAATTGCCAATTGAATGCAGTGTTAGCAGTATCTAGAAGCAGGTTATTTATGCATATTCTCAACTAATGAAACTAAAATAGTGAGGAAATAATAAATGAATGGCCTCCTTACAAAGGGAGCAGGCGCTAAAAGCATTATGTAGAGTCGATAGTTTATACAAAGTATTAACTAGAGTTTGAAAGCAGGAACAGATGTAAATTAGAGAGATAGTAGGAACTGCCAATGCTGGAGAATCTGAGATTACAAGGTGTAGAGCTGGATGAACACAGCAGGCCAAGCAGCATCAGAGGAGTAGGAAAGCTGACGTTTTGGGTCTAGACCCTTCTTCAGAAATGAAACAGATGTTAGTTCTTTGATTATGGGTAGACAGCTGAGACCTCTTGCTTGCAACTCTTGCATCCTGTAGGGACCTGTGAACATTTCATATGTCTTGGGAGGCCTCAAGCTTGAGGGACAGCTAGAATCACTACAGACCATCGGAGAGGATGATATTTTCCTGGATTATACATTGGAAGTGATCGTCATCCCACCGGCAGAGAGTTCAGGCCAGTAAATCAACAATCCAGAAGATTAGGAAGTGCGGGTATTTTGGGGGTGGTGGCTGTTTCAGACAAGTATTTAGCTTCTGAGGCTGCTGGGAATGGTAACACTTTGAAGGAGTGTCATCCAGATCATGTCATTTATGGGCAAGGAGCTGCATGAGGAGAGCAGTAAACTGTGTAGGAGATTCCATGGTTAGGGGGTGCTGAAGGACATGTTTGTAGCTATCATCATAAATCCAACAAGAAGTGTTGCCTGAGATAGTAGGAACTGCAGATGCTGGAGAATCTGAGATAACAAACCCAGCTCTACACCTGGTTATCTAAGAAGCGTTGCCTCCCGGGTGGTGGTAAAGAATATCACAGAAAAAGCACAGAATATTTTGTGGTGAGGGACAGGGGCGGGGTGAACCAGAAGTTAGTAGGCCTCTCGGCCCCTCGAGCCTTCTCTCCCATGCGATAGGATCATGGTGGATCTGACCCTTCTCGCTTCCACCTTTTTTTGTCCTTTTCCCATAACTCTTGATTCCCCTACTTGTTTACATTGATACGAATGATGTAAAACAAGTGTGTATTGGGGTCCTACTGTCAGATTTTCAGGAGATGGGGAGGAAGTTTTAAAAAGTAGGCTCTCTATCTTGATTGCTCCCTGAGCCAGTTCAACCTTTAGCTGACTGAGAAAGAGAACTTGATGACCAAGGTCTCAAGATCAAGACAAAGGCCATAGTTTAGCAGACAGCAGTGATTCCCCCATGCTTCTATATGTTTCAGGGGACTGAACAGCTCACTGCAAGCACTTAAAACTGCTATAGAAATGTCACCACTGGTGTCTTCATAATATTCTCTAAATCCAGTGACGGAAAAAGTAGTCCAACAGCAGCATCCCCACCCATGCAAGCATGTTGAGCATGGCAGTTGTAATATCACTTAAAACCAAGTCCACTGAGCGGGGCATGGCATTTGTACACACATCTGAAGCAACTCCTCTACTTCAAATTCAGTAATAGCTAGAGATTCACAGAAGTACAGTAGATGCACTTAGGGATGTCCTCGAAACAACATGCCTGAAGAGATCAAACATTCCTTCCAACTTACAGGAGTCTTTGTCAAAATGGGGAAGACTTTTATTTTGAAAGGCACTGAATATCATAGAAACCGTACAGTTTGGAGACAGGCCACTCAGTCCAACAAGTCCACACCAACTCTCCGAAGAGCATCCAACCCAGACTTACCCCCCCCACACCCCCCCCCCCCCCCCCCACCCCCAGCCCTATCCCTGCACGTCCCACAGCTAAGCCACCTAATCTACACCTCCCTGGACGTTATGGGCTATTTAGCATGGCCGATCCACCTAACCTGCACATCTTTGGACTATGGGAGGAAACCGGAGCATCCAGAGGAAACTCACGGAGAGAACCTGCAAACTCCACTCAGACAGTTGCCCGAGAGTGGAATTGAACCCAGGATCCTGGCGCTGTGAGGCAGCAGTGCCGACCACCAGTTAGAAAACTGTCACTGTGGCTGCAAACCAGTATGTGTTCTCTGAAATATTTACTGGCTTATATTTTTCATCAATACAATGTCATCAGTGCTCATATTGCTTATGCCTAACAACAGAGGTTATTAGTGACTGTATTCTGGATTGCCTCTTTCAGGTGCTGTAAGGGTTGGCCTTGTAGATGGAGAAGTTGTAATTAACCCAACTCGAAAAGAGATGGCTTTAAGTACTTTAAACATGATACTGGCTGGTGGACCTCAGAACCGAGTTGGTAAGGATTTGATCTTCTCTAGTCACCTGTTCCCTGCTGATTTTTAAAAAAAAATATAGTTTATGCAGTAAAATATTTACACCCGTTCAGATTTACTAGCTGTTTCAGTATTTACTACTTTGATTTTTGAAAGTCCTAAAGCTTTATCAGGGATGTGTAACTCATTTCATGGTATTTAATTTTTTTTAAAACTGTAAAATATATCACCGTCCAATTATTTAATGTTTATGTATCAGTTTGTTTGTTTCTAAAGTTACACATATTAAGCCAGGAAAGATTTCAATCGCAAGTATAATACGCAAGAAAAGTTGCTCGGCCATATTATAATATTAATGCAGCTTAAAATTGGTGCTAATCAGTGCAGAGCATTTACACACAAACGTCGTGCTATAGAGCATGCAGAAGTTCATTGCCATGTTATTGTGCATGAAAAATTTCAGATCTCTCCCACATTTTTCGGGGTGATTCTAATGAGAAAAATCAGTGGGAAAGGCAGCTCGTAGCCTTGACTGAATTTCCTCATTAATAGGGGGCTAGAAACTTATGTTCTCTCTCTTCGGTCATTTTCAGAAGGATACATAGTGGCATAGAACCATAAATAAACCTAAAACAAGTTTGTAGTTGTGCAGTATGCCTCCTTACTGTATATATCATCCCTGTCATGGTTTAGAGTTCTTCATGCAGGAACAATATTTTGGGGCACATTGGCAATGGATAATGTTATAATATAATTATTCATTTTTGCTTTAAATCCAGCAGCAACTTAACAAAACATTTTCATTGCTATATGGCAGAGATTTAATTTGTTTGTTTTTGACTGCTCAACTTAATTTCAGTCCCATTTTACTTTCTTATATACTGGCAATAAATAATGTTCAATACTTCAAAGAATTTTGAAAACAAGCAGTACTAAAGGTATTTCATACATAGTCATTATGACCTTATTTAATCCATAAGTAAATCAGTTGAAGTTGCATTTTTTTTCCTTTACTAGTCATGATGGATGCAGCAGCAGAGAATGTGTTGCAACAGGATTTCTGTCACGCTGTCAAAATGGGTGTCAAACACACACAACAAATCATATTGGCCATTCAACAGCTAGCTAAAGAACACGGAAATCCCAAAAGGACACCTCAAAAGATATTTGCTCCTCCTGCAGAAATAGTGGAATATGCAAGGCAGTAAGTGTGGAATTCTTGATTGGTGAGAATTGGAAATCTTCATGAATATGATGAACTGTATCCACAGGGTTGCAGAAAGAAGTCATAAGGGTCTTCCACACAATTAAGGGATGCTGTGACCATCACTGCTGGGTGACTAACCTAAGGCTCCATATACTACTAAGAACTGTTAAGTGTAAAATAGTTGCAGAAGATGAAATCCTATACAGTGTTACATTTTTTCATGACTCAAGTAATTGAGAGCTTGAAAATGGCATGCAAATGTGTATGGTTTTTTTCATTTTTAAAACTTGCATTTTAATATTTGTCAATCTTTTATAAAATTGTTTTTTTTTACTTTTCTAGAGCACTTCTTTCCTGTTTTCAGGAGAACTTGTTTAGAGGAGTGAATGTACGCGCTTGAGTCAAATCCCATGATGTTGTTGCAAATCACTGTATCACGGCTTGGTGGCCAGAAATCTCCCAATATTGCTCACCAGAGGTTCAAAGTACTGACCAAACACTTTAATTTGGAAAGGAGGGATGTTCATATACTGCTTTAACACATGATAGTTTACGAGCAAAGAAGCCTTCCAACCGGCATCTGACGATACTGTGTATTTATAAATAATATGTTTGTAGGATCTCAGCAATACAGAGATCTGGGTGCAAACAGAATAACCTGCACAGTCACTTTCTTGGATTAGACTCTGTTAACCCAACCTGTTGGTATCCATATGTTTCTTGCATGCTACTATTTTTATGTTTTGAAATCCACCTAAAAGATGTTTTCAAAATCAGTGCTCTTCTGAATGTAGAAGCAACAAAAGGGGCAGAGTTATGCACCTGTCACTCAAAACACCTAGCAGTTGACGAAATAAGTATAATAACAGACCATTGTTCATGACTTAGAGATCCAAGAGGGAGTGAGAGAGTAATCAAGAAGTGACATAGTTGATAACTGCTGTGAATCTGTCTCCCATATGTATTGCTAGTCCCTTTGTTACCTGCCCTTACTGTTTGTGCAAGAATGATGTAAATTATATTTCAATTTTGAAAACATAAGGGAAATTTCTTTTACATCTGAATTGCTTTTAACTAAAAATATACCAACAATGAAAAGTTATTCCAATCCAAAATGTTGATTAGAAACTATAGTATTTTCTTTTGCCTCCTCCCCATAAATGTTGTTCATGAATCTTCCTTCTATGTCCATAAATACTGGTTCTATACGTAAATGTTCATTAGTTGAATTTGTGCAGCCCTCCTGGCACGGCTATAAAGTTTGTAATGTAGGACTGTAATATAGTACAATGAAGATAACCTGAGTTTTTGTTCATATTCGCAAAAGTTTATTTTTGACGTTCGTGGATGAATGTAATGTCCATTAATGCCAAAAAGCTTGAGTTTGGCTTATCTAAAATTTAAAATATTTCCTTTTTAAAAAGATCATATGTATAAAATGAATCTCTTTAGTGGGTCTTAGGTTATTGCCAATTCCTCAAGCAATGGCCATTTCAAATATAGAACTGACCCAATAGTTCACCACCACAACCCCACCATTGCAATCAGTATTTTCATAAAGTACTCTGGTTTGAATGCTTAATATTTCTAAAGTGTTCTTAACTCTTTACTTAGATAGTAAAGTATATGGGGGGAGTTCAGAGAAGGGGGAGGGGAATTCTCTTAGTGTTGCTAACTAGGTGCATACCTCATGTTTTTTTAATTGACATATACAAGTCTCCAATGAAATGTTAAAATAATTTGCTTTTGTTTTTCAGACTTGCTTCTGAGAAGGTCTGTGGTGTATTTTCAGATTTCACTCATGACAAAGTAAGTCACTTTTCATGATTAGGGTAATTTATAGCAATCTAATTTGGGCTTTTTAAATTAAAATGATTCGGAATTATTTTTCATTTAAGGTTTCAAGAGATGACGCCATTAATAAAATCAGACTTGAGACAGAGGAACAGTTAAGAGGTATGATTTGCATATATTTATTATATAGCTAAATTCTCTATGCTTGTGATCTATAAATTGTAGGCTTTATTGATCACAATTTAGCATATTAGAAAAGGAACTGTGATACAATGTTCTAACTAAAATCTTCCAAGGACTCAATGCTGAGATCATTGAAATATCTATTCAAATTAATGGAACCATTCTCTCTCAAGAAGTTAACTGCAGGCCATGTGATTCATGTGTATCAATGTTTAGATTAATTCACACCTAAAAGCTGCATGGTATTCTAATTGTAAGAGTTAATTCAACATTAGTATTGAAATAAAGAAGAGGCAGAGGACTTGCTGAATGAAAAATGGCCCGGTCCATCAAGTTCATCTACCGTTCTGAGTAGACTACCACACATAGTGTATAATGTGGCAAAGAAGTATTCACCAATTGTAGCAATCATGTTATGTAAACTTATATGTAAAACAGACCCGGATATGAGGATGTGAGAACAAGAGACAGGTGACCGTACTAGTAATCAAAAGACTTGAGAATATTCTAGAGAGGTGCGTTTAAATCCTAACTCGGCAACTAGGAGAATTTAGGTTCAATTATATCCATAGATTTTATTCCAAATATATGATCTGAGTCGTATCAATAATGAGTTTGAATCTATCAGATTGTCAGAAAATTCCATCTTGTTCACTGCTGTCTGTTAAGGAGTACGTTTGCCATCCTTGCCATTACATGAGACTCCTGATCAATGTGGTTGACCCCTAACTGCCCTCTGCAATAGCCTAACAAGCTACTCAATTGGAGTTGGATCACCACCACCTACTTGAGGGAAATTAGGAATATACAATAAATGATGGCGTGCCATTGATGTCCATACCCCAAGAACAAATTTGAAGTAAGCTCAGTGGTGAACAGTTTTGGATATCATGGGTCCAGAGTCACCTGTTCCTTCCACAATGCTATGCTATGCTATGCTATGCTATGCTTGCCGTGCGCCATGTGTTGGATTGCTGATAGACCCAAAATGTTATTTTCTGAAGAAATCTGATTGGCATTTGAATGTATCTATTCCATAATTTAGTTACTTGCTTACCGGAAAGTTGCTTCCTTGGATTAGTTTTGAACTTAACACCTTTGGAATAGAGGATATGTCTGCTGGTTCTACAATTTGAAATAACTTGACAGGACAGAATTTATTGCCTTGCACTATGGTGCGCTTTGTGGTGGTAGGGACCCCAGTGTTGCTGCCTGGCAGCCTCCACCCTGAATAAATCCAAGACAGATTGCTTGTGGATGCCGTTTCCACCCTGCTGGTAATTAAGGCCCTTAGGTGGGTAACTAATAGTCACTTAAGAGCTTTATCCTGCTGCAAACAGTATTAATCCAATGATGGTTGAGGGTTTACTATGTCCAGGAGAGGGGGAAAAATTTGCGGGTAGATAAAGAGAGATCCTCAGTCAAAAGCCATCCGTGCCTAATCAAGAGATTAACATTAGGAAGGGGGATTCCCTGCAATTTCCCTTGGCTGACACTCACCTGTGGCATGTGATCCAGCATAATATGTGGCCTTGGGTGGCCTTGTATTGTTATATTAACCCAGTGGAACATTGCATTAATGTTCCTTTGAAAATTGGTATCTTAATTTTAAATCTAACAACTGACACAGCATCGACTACCATTTGTGGAAGAGCGTTCCAAATGTTTACCACACTGTGTGTAGAAGTGTTTCCTAACATCTCCCCTGAATTTTCTGACCACAATTCTGACGCTATGCCCCCGAGTTCTAGAATCCCCAACCAATAGAAACAGTTTATCTACCCTGTCTTTTTCTGTTAATATCTTTAAAGACTTCAATCAGATCAACCCTTGACTTTTGAAATTCTACAGAAAATAGCCCTAACTTATTTTGTCTCTCCTCTTAACCACTGAAGTTCAGGTATCAATCTTGTAAACCTTTGTTGTACGTCCCCCAAAGCCAGTATATTCTTCGTAAGGTGTGGTGCCCAGGTATGCTCATGGTGCGCCGAGTGGAGTCAAACAGGGTTTTAAATTGCTGCAGTATAACTTTTGCATCTTTGTACTCCAGTCCTCGAGATATAATGGCCAGCATTCCATTAGCTGTCTTGATTATTTTCTATACCTGTTTGTGACATTTTAAAATCTCTGCATTTGAACCCCCAAGGTTCTTTGGATATTCACAGTATTTAACTTCATGCCATCAAGAAAATACCCTGATCTATCCTTTTTCTGTCCAAAATGGATAACCTCACACTTGCTAACGTTTATCTCCATCTGCCATAGATTTACCCATTCCTTAGTCTATAATATGCCTTTGTAATTTTATGCTGTCATCTACGTTGTCTACAATGCTGCCTAACTTTGTCATCAGCAAATTTGAATACATGACTTTCTATGCCATTATCCAAGTCATTAATAAATAGTGAATAATTAAGGCCCTGACACTGATCTTGTAGGACACCACCAGTCACATCCTGCCAATTTTGAGTACCTAACCATTTCCCTACATTATATCGCCTGCAACTCAACCAATTTCTCAGCCACATCAGTAACTTGCCCTCAATTCTGTGGGCTTCTACCTTAGTTAACAGTCTCATATGTGGCACTTTATCAAATGCCTTCTGGAAGTGCATATAAACAACATCCATAGACAATTTCCTGTCCACTGCCTTTGTCATTTCCTCAAAAGATTCAGTGAGGTTTTTCAGGCATGAATCCATGCTGACTTTCCCAGATAAAGTGAAATTTTTCATGGTGTTCAATTACTCCATCTTTGATTATAGACTGTGTAGCAATTTCCTCACCACAGATGTCAAGCTAACTGGTCTGTAATTACCTGATTTTCCTCTTCTGCCCTCCTTAAGAAGTGCCCTTCTTAACTAGATGTATAATGTGACCCTATATCTGAAAAAGCAATATTTTGTTTAATTTTCACTTCTAGATAAATTTTCTGAAGCTGAACCATTTGAAATAATGGAAGCATTTAATGTAGTTTCTAAAGACGTTTTTCGAAATATTGTTATGAATGAATATGTAAGGTAAGAAATTTCTTCAGTTTGGTTTCAATTGTTGGCTATTTACTGAACTTTTACGTTCAAAGGAACAGATTTCTATGGAGGTTAAAATGCTGTATTCCTGCATAGTTTTTTCTCAAAGGTTATTTAAACAAAAGGATCGTTCGTTTGCCCAGACTGTAGCATTAATTTGGGGCTTCCTGAAACTTACAATTGCCAAATGTGCACTTTAATGGAACCAAGGTGTTTGCACTGGTTAAAGTATGGCATATTTCAATTTATAGGTATTGCAATGTTAAGTCATATAACTGGTAATGACTTGAAAATGAGTCTACAGTTCATGTGATACGAGCAATGCAGTCTACTTAAAGACTAATGTGTTGCCAGTGAATTCTACTGACCCCAATATAAAGTGTATTTTTCATGTCCCTTGTTATGAAAATTGTGTTAACCTGGTGAAATAATACATTGCCTGTTTTTCTGTTTGTGGCATGTTTGATTACTGGTAAATTTATTTTTTTCTGATTCTGGACTCATTAATTGAGAATGTTGTTAGATTTACTGAAAACGTTTAAAATTTGTTAACTTAATTGATTTTCAATAAGTTAATACACAAGACTTGTGGCTTCTGGCACCACAATGTGAGTTTCTGTTTTTAATACTGCTCAGTCTGTCTGATGCTGATAAAGGTGAGGCTCTGAACAAAACGTGTTTGGAAGAAGGAATTTGTAACACAAGACCATACATAATGGTTTTATCTGAACTGAATTTTGACCCGCATTCCATAGTTTAAAGTACGGATTGTACTATATGCCACACCCACTCTCAATTCCTTTTCATTGACTTTATCAAAACTAATTGTGTACATACACATTACGTAAGATATCAAAGTAATTCTCTGAACTTAAGACCTGAATTTTTGTAAGAATGAAGGCGGCCCCTGGCTTAGCCAAAATTGCACTTGGTGCATGAATCCAGAGGTCCCATCTCTGAACACAGCACCCACCGTTTATGCTAGGGGTTGGTTGTACTTTGGAGATAGGTAGCTTCCCATGTTAAATGCTTTTTCAGTCAGATTCTGCCAGTGGGATGTTCAAAACCTAAATCATTCACTTTAGACCTATAAGGAAAAGATGTGATGTCTGCAGATTTCTTTAGTAATGTGGGTCAATATTTTATAATTAATCTATTCAGAGATATTGTGATACACATTTCATGCAGCAGGTGGATTGAACATGTCCCCCCATACCCCCAGTTCATAGTTTGATTGACAGCTCCAGGTGCTTAATATAATGTCTTCAAAATGTGACAATGAATATAGCTGCTTGTTTCTATAATGGCTTAAATGGATCAAGGAAGTTAAATATCATGAATTGGTTTTATTAATGAGTTTTTGTTTTAACATAGTGAATTATTAAATAGATGCTGGAACCTTATCTTATTACATTTCAATATAAATCCTGAGATCTGCCCACAGTGGATACCGGTTGAGATGGCATGGCAGGGGGATGTAGAGGCAAAGGGAGATGGAGGAGAATTGATTAGCATGGAGGGTATGAGAAGCCATTGGACTGGGCCGTGCATATCAGACAGCATGGTTTGTCACAGATAGGGCACAGGGTGGGTGGGTGAAGGGATGTGAGTGATGAGGGCTAGAGCACTGAGAAGGGCTTTTCCTACATTCAGCCTCTGTATCTCGCAGTGATTGTGTCTGTCTGCAATTAATTTTAGGGACACTGGGCCCACCTCCTAGTAACAACAACCCCCACCCTCCACCCATCTCACCTCGGGAACAAAAATCTGACTGTTCAGGGCAATTTCTTACATGCTGAGTTTGTGGAGCCAGGAACGTTCCTTACTAGGTTCTTCAAATTTAGAAATAAGTGTATGTTATTGAGTATAATTAGAAAAAATATAAATAACTGATTTATAATGGCTTTAGAAAATAAATGTATTTTGATCTTGAAATATTGTTTAAATCTCTAAAAGTTAGCACCTTCCATTATTGTTACAGATGTGATGGTAGAGACTTGAGATCTCTTAGAAACATAAATTGCGAAGTTGACATGTATAAGCCTCTTCATGGATCTGCACTGTTTCAAAGGGGACAGACACAGGTAATAAATGAACTTCAATTTTCTCAAGGATAAAGTTTCAGATTCAATAATATGTGCGTGCCAACTATTCAACATTTGCTTTAATTTGGTCTACTCTTCCTCCAAACAATTTGCATGATCTGGCCTGAAGTTTGAATTTTCTTTTTGAGCACTCTATTTCCACATTGCTATCTTATATATGTTCCTTTGAATTTGTGTAAAAGTTGAATTTTTTTTGATGTAAATGTTATGAACTATTGAAACTAAACCATATATAGATCATAGTTACTGTTCAAGTTGTATTGTCACAAAATATTCTTACTAACATTTTGCCAAATGTTTTATTGCCTTAATAATTTAGTCAAATCAACATCATGGCTAATTGGTGCAAGCAATGCAATTTTTAATCAGAAAATTGACTTTTTATTCCAGGTGGCATCTTTGAACTGTGATGGGTCAGTGGATTCTTCTAGATTGATTGATAGTTTTTGTGGTTTAATCAGGCTTCCAGGTTAAGTCCCCATTTTATTATGATATCAGTGAGGTCATTGAAGAATTGGTCCTATTGAAACTAGCTCCAAATGTTGGGAATGAACAGTCAGCCTGAAATGATACTATTAATGGCTATTCAACCATTTCTGCTATCCATATGCATAGACAAATACACGTGGTGGGAAGTAATTGTATCCAGATTGACTTTGACCCATCTTCAGGTAGAAAAGCTGGACTGAACTGTCAAAGCTTTCACATGAACTATGGGCTACCTTTGGTGAGTTGGCAGAGAACAAAAGCACCTCTTGAACCCTGTACCCCAATAAGAATTTCAGGATAGGAACAAAGAAGGTGAGATAGGAGAAAAGAAGAAAATGAAAAAAACATTCTTTTCTTCGAAGTTCTTCATTGAGCTACTGTAAAGATAATCTTCATGACTTTTCTTTCTAGGTACTTTGTACAGTAGCCTTTGATTCCATAGAATCAAGTATAAAAACAGATCTTATCACCACTCTTATAAGGTAAGCCTTGCAATTGCATCTTTGGTTGTTTTGCTTTCCTATTTCTGGAAAAAAAAAATTCTATTGCTCCTGTTTGTGTATAAAATATACAGCGTTAGCTTCAGAGATTTCAAAACACTTTAGCCAGGTATAAAATAAAACATTCAGCGAAACATTTTTGATGAAGAGAGCAGGGCAGGATTGTTTCTTAACTTTTTTAAACACTCTTTGCAAATAGATCGAGTGAAAGGTAAAACAATGTTGCCTTTTCCTTTTGTACATCTTTTCTCCACACTCCCCCCAACGTTATTCAAAGTCTGATGCTTTAAGCATTAAATTTAGGAAAGGCCTTTCAGTCGAGGATCAGATCAAGGACCACCAATATTGAAACATAGTATCAATTGACTAGTAAGTTGTAATAACATTTTAAATATTTGCTTCATATTATCTATGCCATACTTGTTCTCTAACCTTGGCTCCCATCCTTTTTCTTATCTTTAGCTTCTGTTATTTCTCACTAGCCCTGTTTGACAGCAGCTTATCCCACTGGCATAGTTCTTTGCTGAAATAGAGCTCCTCGTTCCCATGCCTGGCTCAGCCAGATATTTACTTTCCTAATGAGGGCAGGCACAAAGGTGGATGGATATTAAAAATTGTACTGCAAGCTGGTGTGCTGATTTATCGACTCTATACCATCCATAGGTGACTTTCCCAGAGTGGGAGTATGGTTATTACTAGTAGAAGCATGTAATAGGGCTTACCTGCCTGCAACTGGCAAGTAGCCAATTGACCTCATAAAGTTGAAGGCCAACTGGAATTTTCTTATGGGTTTCCAGGCTGCTGTGGTGCCCTGCTGAAACCCCAAAAGGCTAGGGCAGGCAAATACAGATTCCCATCCTGTCTTCACAGTGGAAGCCCAGCTATTGAGGCTATTTTTTCTAAAGTTGAAACAATTGGAATAGTGCATACATCTTGACCTCCTGCTCCATTGGTGCTGGAGGGCCTCCTATTGATTCTCCACCTTCAAGAGTTTGTGCATCATTCATAATTGGACAACACATCTACCATCTGACCAGTAATTGGCCAATTTGTAGAAAAACACATCAGGAGTCTGTTCCCACACATTACAGGTTCTCAACATAATTTGAGTATGATGGTTATATCCTGAAGCCGATAGGAAAAGGTTTGCCCCTTCTCTTCAGATCAAATGATATTCACTTTGTGCTATATGTTATGCTCTGCCCAAACTGATATTATAAATTTTATTTGTACAGTGGAGTGAAGGAAAAAAATTTCATGCTGCACTATGAGGTAAGTGATATTTTTCTGTATTCTGATTACAGTGATAGTTCTGATTTGTTTTAGTCATAATTTGTTGAGCCTCCAGATGTGACATACACTTAATTTTGTTGAATCAAAAAAACAGTATTTGTAACTTGAACTGTAATTATAGATTTATGTTCTGTTCTTTGTTTGCATAATTCTTTCTTTTTAATTTTCATATTGATGGCAGGTTTGTAGTATATACACACCTCTACTTGAACAAGTTTACTCAAAAGAAATTATAGCCACATCATTTTCTCCTCCAGGCTTGTTAGCAAAAGATTTCAAATGGAGATGCATCTCCCAAATTATCTTAGTGGGTAACAGGGAAACATTGATTTTGCAAATCTAATGTCTGCTTTAATCGAAACAAAGTACTGTACACTCTCTCTCGAGTCAGACAGCTTCTCTCTCCAGAGACAGTTAGTTTCAGGTCAACGATCTCTCATTTCTGAATTCCTTGTTTGAAACTTACTGAGTGACTTTGTGGTACCATTCCATACCCAATCTCTGTAGTAAGTGTTTCTTTTGAATAAAAATATTTCAAAGCTTACAAATCTGCGTTTCATAAGTACCTTTCATATAAGCAGCTGTTGTTTGTTGAAAAAGGAACTAGTGAAGTAGTATTTGAAATTCTGACAGTTATTTGAAGTTTCACAACTTATTCCTCCTGTCGACCCAAAGTTTCATATCACTTTTCAGTCATGGTTTATTGATAGCATTGTTAGAAGATTGTTTTGTTTGTTTGTTTGTTTGTTTGTTTCTGCCTCATTCGAGAAAATTAAGCGCACAATCCAGGCTATCTCTCAAATGCTGACAGCACAGTTTGGAGCTGAAGGAACACAGCAGGCCAGGCAGCATCAGAGGAGCAGGAAATTTGACATTTCGGGTCGGGACCCTTCTTCAGAAAAATGCGTTGTCTCCGACTCCAGCATCTGTGGTTCTTGCTGTCTCTCAAATGCTGCACTGTTTCAAGAAGCATGTTTCAAATAGGATGTTAAATTGAAATTCTGTTTTCCTCATTAGGTTAATGTCTAGGACTGTACAAAGAATTGTCCCCAGTCTATATACCAGATCAAAATCACCAATTACACTATCTCTGTCACTTATCTGATTTATCGTTTGTGATTTCCAACTGTGTGAATTAAATAGCGGATTCCCTTTACCTTGTTTGTGGTCGATAGCAAACTGTTAGCATTTGCTGTCATCACCTCTCTAAAATTGACCACGACTTCAGAATGCAGTGATGTACTGATTATTGCAGAAGTCCTAAAGTTTGCAGTCTGTCACACAGTTTTCCAACACAGGTTGCAGTTTGGAACTGCCTCCACCTAGCACACCCCTTGCACTACCAAGGCCAGAAACCATAAAACAAGTAAGAATTTTAACTTCCCGCTCCCAAATCACTGTCAGAATCTCCACCTTCCCACATTCATCTCCATTTGATGACATCTCTGCCGATCTAAGCAAATCTGGTGGCAAAGTCCAAGGCAACTGAGGTCCTTAAGTGAGCAATTAGTGATTATTTTAAAGTCTAATCCAAACACAACTGATATTTACCCACTGTGGGTGGAGGATCAGCCACCTAGAAAACTGGAAAAGTAAACTGCCATGTTGTTCTTTGAGCTTTTAGAGGTATTCCTTCATTTGAAAGCAGTCAATTGCCTGAGCATGGCACTCAGCATCAGGAGGCTGGAGACAGTGACTCACTGAAAGCCACCCTGCTGCTGACGTGCTTGCCCACAACCAAACCCTCCTGCCATCCAGTTCTTGATCCTCGGCCTTAATTGTAGTGCTAGCAGCAGCCACCGTCTCATTGATGAGACTGCCAAACAATAAACAGCATCCAGCCTCTGACTGCTGCACTTGGCAGGCTTCACTTCCACACTGGAACTCTTGATTCTTCCAATTTGAGACTTTCTGTAAAGAGGCAATGGGATTCTCGCCCATTCTCCAGGTGGCAATAAGACCTTTGCCATCTCCACTAAATAACTTCAGGAGCAAGGAAGATTTCCTGATGTTTGTGTTTGATATATTTGTTTTGAACACCACTCTAAGTTTTTGTTGGTTGTAAAACTTTTTTTTTAACCTGTTTTGTCTAATGGCATCATATTTGTTATTTCAGTTTCCGCCATATGCAACAAATGAAATTGGGAAAATAGTTGGTCAGAATAGGAGGGAACTAGGCCATGGTGAGGAGGACAAGAATTAAGTTTTAATTCACAGAAATTCTACTTCAAAATTTGTCGTTTATCAAAAATATTTATCTCTGTCTATTAAAATTATATCAATTTAGGTGCTCTTGCAGAAAAAGCATTGAAACCTGTGGTTCCTAAAGAATTTCCATTTACAATAAGAGTAACTGCAGAAGTATTGGAATCTAATGGTAAGTTATTAAATGGAATAACCATAAATTCAAACAATGGCACATCTGTTTACTTTAAATCCTTTTATTTAATCAATCTAAAGTAACAAATGTTCCAAAGCCCCTCTTTTGCTTTATGTAATTGAGAGTTGTAAGTTAAAGATGATACATAGATGTCATGCATTTAGTTGCCTTTGCACTTATAGGTTTTTAAAATGTTTGCGTGGCAAGTTGGTGGAAGTGTGATCTGACAACATCACCGCAGGGGAGCAGATCACATACAATGACATCTCCTTTACTGATCAGAATGAAGGATTTAGAAATGAGCAGCACAAGCAATAAAAAAGAAGTGTAAATTAATGCAGCCTAAATTCAACATCAAATCAGGTACAGGAAAAGAAAGGTAACAAGGAAAGTAAAGAGAAAGATAATAAAGAGAAAGAGACAACAAGGTGCAGGGCTGGATGAACACAGCAGGCCAAGCAGCATCATAGGAGCAGAGAGGCTGACGTTTCGGGCCTAGACCCTTCATCAGAATTGGATTAGGAGCAGAAACAAAAATGTGAGTTTAACATTTTAGTTTGTCAACATTGCAAATTAAATCTGAATGAATGATACAACGTACTATTAATTTCAGTGCAAGAGTGATTGGTTGATGGTAGTTAACATTTATTATGCCATAATTCAGATTGAAATAGTCAGGCCTTCTGTGCTGTGATCACTGACTGTGTAATCTGGAACATCCAAACACTTTCCTGGACCCTGCTGGAGCTGCACAAGTGCTTAATGATTTAAACCTGAATGTGGCAAATTAGCAGATGACCACAATTATCAGCCATGTAGTTGATAGTGGAGAGGATGGATGTTAACTCCAAATTTATATCAATGGTTTGGTTGAGTGGGTAGAAGAGTGGCAAATGAAATTTATTTGGAAAGAACAAACAAAACCAGAGAATACACAGTAAACAGAATGATGCCAAGATATTGAGAGGGGTAAAGGAGGTGAGAAGTCTTGGAGTGCGCATCTGGAGGTTCTTGAAGGTAGCGAACAGGTAGATAAGATGGCAAAGGTAGCATATGGAATTTTTGTTTTGAATTGAACAGGATTTTAGAAGGTGAGAATAGAGCTGTAATGCTGGAACAGTATAAAATGCTCGTTAGATTACAACTGGAAATGAGTGTGCAGTTCTGATCACTGCAGCAGTTTACAGGAATATTGCAAGGGCTTGGAAATTGCAGCTATAGGAAAAGTTGGATAGACTAAGGCTGTTTTCCTTAGAACAGGAGGCTGAGGGTCATTTAATTTGAGTTGTGCACGTTATGAGGGGCTCAGTAGACGAAAAAGATCCTTTTTACCTGTAGAAGAGGAGGTCAGGTGCACAGATTTGGGGTGTTTGGTAGAAGGATTAGAGGTGACGTAGGGAATCATGTTCACTCAATGAAATTCACTTCCTGCTGAGAGAAGAGGCGAAAGAGAGACTTTAATCTTGTGAACATTCCTTCTTTACTGACCACCTAGGTCTGTGAAAACACAAGTCAACTCCAGAAAGGGTTGCTTGGCAATCACCAGCATAGAGGCCCCCTTAGTGGTTTCCAAAACCAATGTTTCCACCATTAGAGTCATAAACCCATCTCTTATGTCTCTGAAAGCTTTGCCTGTCTTTTTTCTCAGAAGTAATTTGCCTTTCTGTAAACAATAAGTGGACTACAACACACTTAAAACTATTGACCTTAATTTCCACGAAACTATGTAAATAAAACCCTTTTTTGTCTAGGTGTCCATGCTGTTCCTTATTTTCTGTTTCTCACATAGTCATTGAATATAAATAAGGGCATCAGTTAGCTCAGTTGGCCAGACAGCTGGTTTGCAATGCAGAGTGATAAAACAGTGTAGATTCAAATCCTGCACCAATGAGATTACCATGAAGGACTCTCCTTCTCAACCTCGTCCCTTGCCTGAGGTGTGGTGACCCTCCAGTTAAACCACCACCAGTCATCTCTCTCAATTGAGACCAGCCCTATAGGCCAATTGGACTATGGCAAATTAACTTTTTAAATATAGATATGTATTCCCAGAACATTTAAAAATTGCTACATGAGTGCTGCCAGCTCTGATGTGAGATCATTCACATGAAATGTTGATGCTTTCTGTCTCCACTGACACTGCCAGAGAGAGTGTTTTCAAGCATTTTCTGTTTTTATTTTAGATTTTCAACATACTTTACCCTTCTTTTGGGGTTTGTGGTGTTTGTAGCTGAAATTGGGAGCCCAATGCTCTGGTCTTGTAGCAATTTACCTTTTTATGTTCATTTTTAACTTACAGGTTCATCTTCTATGGCATCTGTATGTGCAGGAAGTATGGCTTTGATGGATGCAGGCAAGTTCTAATCATGTGTCCTTTCACCAGTATCATTTTTAATTCAAATTTTTACGGTAGTAAATATATAAGAAAACATTATATAACTTTTCAATAAATGCTGCTAGATTATATTAAAGACTAGAGACTTAAAGAATTTGTTTTCCACTTAGAGTTTACAATTTATTTGCGGTGTTGTCTTACTTTTCCATCAGGTGTTCCAATTTCGGCTCCTGTGGCGGGTGTAGCTGTTGGCCTCATCACAAAGAACAATCCAGAAAAGCCTGCTGAAATCGAAGATTACCGTCTCCTGACTGATATTTTGGTGGGTTTTTTTTTGTCCAAGGACCATTGTAACATTGGCTTTGTATTCTACATTGACTTGTATCTAAGCCCATTCAAAAAGGAAAGTAATTCTGTTTACTCTTGCAGGGTATTGAGGATTATAATGGAGATATGGACTTTAAGATGGCAGGAACAAGCAAAGGAATAACAGCTTTACAGGTAAATGTCTCAATTGTATTATTAATGACTTTAAATTGATGACTCCATGTACAAAAATGTTTTTACCTATTTGCTCTATCGAAGCCGTGAATTTTAAAAATGTCTAATTTTTTTTAAGCTTCTTTGCTTCAAAGCAAATTATTTAAATTTCTCACATCTCTCCTTTATAATTATAGTTTCTTATTGCTGGCATAATGTTTGTTATTCTGCACTGTATGCTGTCTATAAGAAAAACTCAAAACTGAACAGTGCTTTAACATTGACCAAAAAATTACTTGTATTCCAATAAAACGGGGCAGCACAGTGGTTAGCACTGCTGCCTCTCAGCGCCAGGGACCTGGGTTTGATTCCACCTTCGGGCAACTGTCTGTGTGGAGTTTGCACATTTTCCCCATGTCTGCATGGGTTTCCTCTGGGTGCTTCCGGTTTCCTCCCACAGTCTAAAGATGTGCAGGCTAGGTGGATTGGCCATGCAACATTGTCCTTTAGTGTTCAGGGATGTGTAGATTAGGTTGGTTATGGGGGATAGGTCTGGGTCGGATGCTGTGAGGTTCCGTGTGGACTTGTTGGGTCGAAGGGCCTGTTTCCACATTGTAGGGATTCTATGATCTATGAAAACAAAAAATTTCTAGAGAAACTCGGCAAGTCTGGAGAGACAGCTAAGTTAATATTTTGAGTCCAATGAGTCTTCTTTGGAACTGCTGGAGGGCCTTTGAAGTCAAGTAATTGGACTTGAAACATTAACAATACAGACCTACTGAGTTTCTCCAATATTTTATATTTTTATATCAGATATCCAGCGTTCATGGAATTTTGCTTTTACTTGTATTCCAAGTTCTTTTGGACTTTTGTTCTTGGGCTCTATGTTCCTATCATAAATTCAAAATTTTTTTTTTTTTAACAGCTTAACTATTTCATGCATAACCTATGTACTAATGCCTTCCTGTTTGGCAGGTTTTATGGTGGAGAACTTACTATCTGGGGAGCATGATGAGCAATCTCTTTAAGGATGTTTGCCAGAATTTAGAGTAGTAGTAGATGGGAGTAGGGGGTCCCTTGTTCAAAGTCATTTGGTACTTAATCAAATGGACCCAGGATCAGAAAGGGGGTTCTGCTAAGAGTCACTACATTTTTCTTCCCTCCACCATGGAACCTCTCCAAACATCACATACTCCTGGAATCCAGCAATAATACTTGGCGTCAGGGGGGCATTGTACTTACAATAGCTGCTGCCTCCTGGTGATGCTACCATTCAATGGCTCGTTAGCCTATGACTTGGGCAGAGTGTATGCAGTGGCACTTAATTCAGTGGGCCTTCCCTAAAAGATGTGATATGAGGGCCTCATCAGCTCTCCAATAAATACTGCCCCAATTCTTCAACACCTTCCAGCATATTTTCACTGTGTCAGAGATAGTAAGAACTGCAGATGCTGGAAAATCTGAGATAACCAGGTGTAGAACTGGATGAACACAGCAGGCCAAG